ACTCTTCAGGATAACATTATGTCTTTGGCAGAATCAGTTATGTYGTCCACAGTAACTGAGAAATTTGCATAAAGTCAGAACACTGCTCTTACATGGGATAAAATTAAAGGAGCAGAAAACTGTATAGCTAGGAATGAGTTCATTAAGTTTCTCTCCCCAATCCCCCCGCCCCAATACCAAGTTTGTTGTGTTTGTAACCAAAAATAGACCAAGGGAAATAATATGGTACTAAATCAGAGAAATCTGTTCAACAGAGTTTTCCAGAGCCCTGCCCACTGTAAGCAAGATGTTGCTGTACTAAGTACCCACAGAGCAGTGGTCAGCAAACTGCAGCCCACGGACAAATCTGTCTTGCCACTGGTTTTTATAAATAAAGTTTTATTGAACATGGACATGTTTATTTGTTTACAGTTTTGTCTATGGACACTTTGCTGAGGGTCAAAAGTGAATAATTCAGATAGAGACTACCACCTATGAAGCCTACAATATTTACTGTTGGGCCTTTCATTGCAAAAGCTTCCAACCTCTACTGTACAGGGTACAGAGTAAGACACCCTTTCTGTTCTCATCCTTGTCCTTGTATTGGGAGTATAATTTATACTCAAGGCAAAATGTAGAATAGAATTCAGGAATTAAAAGAATGTGAAAAGCCATCTTAATACATTAAGATGGTGAGAAGCAGAATGTCTGCATAGGAGACAGTAACGACTATCAGGATAGCACAGAACCAGTGAGCCCTTCATTCATTATCCAGGTTCAGTGTGGAATAGTTTGAAAGTTTATTCAGAAAGTGGTGTGGCTTTCACCATAGGAGCAAAGTGGCCAGGACTTAAAACCTTAAAAGGCAGTTGACGTTTCTTACTGGGAATTCTCTTGGGCTGGGAATATTCGGTGTGGTCAGATATTCACTTGGCTGTATCATTCAAGTACATCTTTAGAATAGAAACTTGGGGCATCTGTGGAATGGAGTCTGTCATCTCCTGTGATGTCTGTGGCAGCTGAAAGCTTCTATAAATAGACTTTGTCCACTCCTGCAAGGTTCATTACTCTAGCCATTGGGCCTCTAAACAAATCTTGATGACAGGAACCAGACCAACTCCTTGTTGGTCTTTCTTTAGCAAAGYTGTAGCCAAAGAGGAGAACACCACAACTCCGACACACAAGTGCACACACATTTTAGAGGGTAACTTGTCTGATTCTGGGTTTATTGATTTCTAAGGGAGTAGACTTGGAACTGCTGACCAGAGAGATATTTGAATGATCCCACTCTTAGATATGCTGTGCCTTGAATACTTTGCTCCAAATATTATTTTGTCATTTCAGGCATAGAACAGACTTCCCCTAAATATAAATTGACTGATAACATACATCACTCTTAGATTCGCTGATTCTGATTGCAAACTCATTTCAGGTAACATTGTAGAACGTGTGTGTCTTTCACACGGTGCTTTCTGGGCCCTGTTGACCAAACGTGATGCATCTGTATTTGTTCTGTGTATGAACTACAGAAATGGCAGTACCACCTGGAAATGGGAATTCAATTTAAATCTTGGGGACTTCAGTGCTATCCCACTGAAACTAGAGGGAGTGAAGGCCAGTTCACTGAAGGAGAGAGGGGATCTGAATATCTGAAGAGGCAGAGATTCTAATTTACTCCCAAATGCACCTAAAAGTATCCATGCCTGAGAGAGACCATTGAAATGGATCTTGTCATACCAAAAGTATCATTTCAAGTTGGTCTCAGAATTCTAACTTTATTAAATGGATGGCTTTGTCAGTTAGTGGTAATGATTATACAAGACTTCTGTAGATGACCTTTTAAAAAGAAAACATTAGCCTTGAGTAGTGGCTATCAACTTAGAGTAGTTTTTAAAATGTACTGCTACATTTGGCACTTCCTGAAGTCATTTTTTAATTGTCTTGTTCTGGTTGTGTATGTGTAAGGGGATGAGCAAAAAATTCTTGGTTGAGATTTCAGTATTTTAGGAAAAATTATGAAAACTTTCTAAATCCTTTTGGATATAAACAGAGAATATTTCTTATCCTTTTGGGATGTTCTCAGTTGAACCAAGAAAAAAATATTTTGTTTACATATTTCAAACATAATAATTATGAAAACATCTGAAAAGTACAGAATTATTTTATAAAGAAGATTTAAAAGCACAGTAGCCCCACCATTTATTTCTACCTATTTTTCACAATTGGAAATACGGAATAGGATGGTTTATCTAAGAGAATGGTCTTAGGGAAATCAATTAAAAGATAGTTGAATTTTTCTTGGACTTTCACCTTGCATCTGTTATATTTTCCTAGTCTCTTCTCTTTCAGATAGTACTTCTGTCACACACTGTTTAGGCTCAGTTTATCAGAAGGTGATAAATTGGTCCATAAATGCCTGARTAGAATTCCCAACACCAGGAATTTTGGGTGATATTTAAAAAGTTTTGCAGAGTTCTTTTATTATTTTCAGTGTGTTTGTTTAGAGACTTGTATAAAGTATCTTTATTTATGGTAGATTTCATTAATAAATAAAATATTTCATAACTTTGCAGTTTGAATTTAGAGGTAGCATTTTACTTTTTTAGGATAGTTTTAGTTTATTAAAAAGACAAGGGAGAAGAGAAGACCAGATAATCGAGACCATCTCACAATGGTATCCCTGAACTTCAAAAGCCTCAGAAGGGTGCAACTTGGGAGTGCTATATTTTCTGTGCTCTTGGTGAGTAAATTTGGTTTGGCAGAGAATTTTTAGGAGTAGATAAGACTCTGTAAGTAAAACTTTGCAGTTTTAGCCAAAGAAAACAGACTGTAGATTTGATGACTCTATTTGATTTATTAGTGCCATATGCAGAGCCTTTTGATCTTCAGGATTCAGTCAACCAACGAATTGATATTTATCAGAATTCCATCACATGGGAAGAAATCTTAATTTGCCTGTAGTGTTGATACTAATATAATTATCCAACACCTGCATCCTATTGATGGTAATTGTGTTAGGTTATATTAAATTTTAATGATAGGTACAGACTGAACATTAAAAACAAGCTTTTAGATAGCATTAACATTGGAAGTACTCCCATTTATTATGTATGTGATACCTGCTTTCTTTTTGTTTATAACAAAACCTCCTAGTAGGAGTTAAGGAACTGCTTGTGTGTAGTGATTGTGGTTTTTAAAGGAAGAAGAAAGGGAGCTGGGGTTGTAGCTCAGTGGTAGAGAGCTTGCCCAGCATGTATGAGGCACTGGGTTTGATCCTTAGCACCACATAAAATTAAAAATAAATAAAACAAAGGTATTGGGGGGAAAAGGAAGAAGAGAAATTGCTTGACATTAATAATCACATGAACAGGTAGTATATAATAATATCCTCTCACAGTCTTTGTCAGGGAATATAAAGGAGTTTCAGCTGTCTGAGGTTTTGTTCCACCTCTGAATTCCTTCATAATACTTTTATAAAAGTAACTACGGGATGAATGTTTCTGCAGTCGAGCAATCAGCACCCATCAATTTTTGTCTTTTTATCATCAAGAGAAGTTAACATTCGACAGAACTGCATAAGTTTGTATAGTTGAAATGAACTATCAAGAATGATATCATGATATTAGTCTTTTCTTTAGGTGGATCTCTTTCTCAAGACTCTCGATGCCTTATTTTTGTGCAGGAGGAAAAGCTTCTCTACTCAAGCAATTGGATTTCCCTACTGAGTTTCACTTTCTTTTTTTCTGTGAACTCTCAGTAATTACTTTGACCAGGCAGTTCTTGCCTATAGATGACTTGTACTTAGATTCTAAGTATCTTTTTTTTTTCATTCTCATTTTTGTTTATTCTGTTTGTATAGAGGTGTTTTCTAGAACTATGTCATATCTGTCAGACATTGATCTAGACATTTTATCAGCTCCCTGCGATAGGTGAAGTTTGAAAGCAAATAAAATGTGAATCAATCCAAAAGAAGATGCTTTTTTTCTGCAAGTGTCAGATGTATTCAGGGAAGGCTATCAYGGAGGAGAGGCTGGACAAGCCAAATTGGACTCATACCCAACTTCTTGAAGATAATAGTAACTATTATCTAGTCATCATGTATTCCAAGTTCTGTTCTAACTGCTTTGTATTATCTACCTACGTTAACTATATGAATTGGTACCACAATTAATTCTGAGTCCCCACTTCAGAGATGAAGGGAACAATGATGGAGAGATTATATTACTTGGCTCAGGTCACACAGATAGAAAGTGGTCTCATATTTCCAGACCCTGAGCCTGACTCACTACATTATTCCATTTTCTCTACCTTTATATTTGTCTAGAATCTTCAAAATATTTGACATTTAGATACAAATGTAAAATCCATGTCAAAAGTAAAATATGATTATTTTTTAATTGCTACATTTGCTTTCTGCTTCTTACTTGCTAACATAGCTCTGTGTGTGTGTGTGTGTGTGTGTGTGTGTGTGTGTGTGTTCGTGTGTGTGTTGAGAGAGGGGGGGAGAGAGAGAGAGAGAGTGAGTGAGTGAGTCAGAGTCACAGATATAGTTGGTAGCCTTCTAGTACCATCTGTGTTTCTTTTATTTACTGGTAAATATCCCCGACCCTGCAGTTATGAGTAGGCACTTAAAGTTCATGTTCAATATCTTCACCTTTTTACTCTGTTACCACTTTTGTTTGTTTTTCCACACACACACCTCTGTGGTGACTTTTTCCTATTTGCACAATAGGAGGGCAGCTCTACAGTTAAAATACCCAGAAGACAAATAGATATTGGAAACTTTGCATGGTCATTTCTTTGTTGTGTGCTTCCTAAAATGCTACAGAATCAAGTTGATATCAGACTTACTTTAGAAAAATGTTCTGGAATACTAAGCCAGTGTGATTCAAGATCTGAGTATACTAGGAAACAGTTAAAGGTTTGACATCTGATCTCTAGCAGAATGTCTGCTTGCCGTGCATTACAGTAGTATCAGTAGTATTCCTAAAACAGTTCAGGGTGGATGTTTGCTTCTGATTAGCGCGCGTGTGTGTGTGTGTGTGTGTGTGTGTGTGTGTGTTGGATGAATGAGCAATTGGGAAGTCATGACCATGTGTTTGCTGTCATTTAAACTGCCAATCTAATCTAAATATACATGTGGGTGCCTAAGGAGACGTCTTTCTTTTCAAGAGGATCATTCTTACCGCTCTCAATTCCTTGCTGACACGTGAACTTTGGGGCACCTCTATATTCCTGAGAGCTACTCTGCTTTCTTTTAAAAAAGGTGAGAATGATTTCTTTGCTGTACTTGGTTTTTAAAGGCCAGCTATATTTAAAGTTTATTTACTGTAACTTCATAGGAAAGATAGCTTCCAGGATGTTATACAAGGTAATGAAAAAGCAGGTGTGAGAAGAGTGACTGGACAAGAAAAAGCCACAGGGGGTTTTAATTTATGGAAAAAATCAGTAAAATCTTAATGATTTTAGATCACTATTTTTTATATAGCATATTCAATCTAATTAAGGAAAAAATAGAGAAAAGTTTATAAATAGGAGCTATGATTTTATAATACCTCCTAGTAWAATATGGAACCCAGATGTACATTTCTCCCCAGAGGGATTTAAGGAAGGGAAAGATACGTTGCTCTTCTCACTTTAGAACATTTACACTTATTTTATCTACCAGTGAATTCTTATAATGCATAAAGAAGTATAAGTTTTTCCTACTCATGATTATATTATTAAACAGTTTCTTTTATTTTATCAGAGAAGTTAAGGATTAGAACTTGAAGTAACTAAATCTGAAATGTATCTTTTTATTGAGAAAATAATGATATTATTTTTCTATGTTTCATAATTATATAGCTTATCATATTTTGAAAAGTTATATATCCAAAATATTTTCCCCATTCACATATTTCAGATGTAAGAGCAAAATATTTTACTAAACATACCCCCCAAAAGTTCCAGGATACTCCATGTGATCTTATCACTAGATAAAAATCAGTTATTACTTAATTGCACTTCAGAATAATTCATTAAAATTTTCAATGATTTGTAACTGTAAATTCTAACATGTTTTATTCATTTTTTATTTATTTAATAAGTCTGTTGGAATAGAATTTGGGTTGGCTTACTGGTTAATATATGTGGAAGATATAATCTAAAATAAGTAGTCACAAAACTTGGAGAAYGTAGCATTCATTCGTTGCCAGCCAATTTTATGCATGGGCAATTATGTCTTCCATTTTTAAAAAGATATATGACAGTTACGGAGTTTTATCTTTGGAATATCAGAAAGCATGAACATTCATCTACAGAAAGTAATTTTCCTGGGGTTTTATTCAAGGAGAATTTGTCATGATTCTCTATGAACTAAATTCTATCACATGATTATGTATAAATGGGTAAAGTAGTCACATGTAAATGCTAATCTCCATAAATTAAAATTGTTTTTCTGTTTTACCTAGATGTGGCGATATCTGAAGACTTAAAAAAATGTGGGKTTTTTTTGGAGGGGGGAATTTCCTTTTGAAATGTTCTCATTTCACACACTTTCAGAGAAAACAGAAGCTGCTCATGAATCACTTTTTAAAAAAATATTTGTATTAGTTATTGATGGACCTTTATTTATTTGTTTATATGTRGTTCTGAGAATCGAACCCAGTGCTCATACATGCTAGGCAAGTACTCTACCACTGAGCTACAACCCCAGCCTTCATGAGTYGCTTTCATTCCAGACTAGAGTAAATTACATTTTAGAGCAATAAGTGGAGCTTTAGCACTCCTTCAAAGCTGCTTCTCCTCTCCTGTCCCTCCTTCTCCCTATTGCTCAGCTCATACACAGAAAGTTCTGCAGTTTGCTTAGTTTATCAGAMAATGCATGAAAGTAATTATGTTAATATTTCTAGTTTTCTTTCAGATTTTTAGTTTTATAAGAAAACACAACTTTTTTGACTAATTTGACTTTCAGGTTTTCAGTAGCCAGCTGAAAAGGGGACATGATCTATTACTTATTTCACATGGTTCATAAGATAAAAACCAACCTTTCTCTTAGGAGATGTTTAAGTCAAGTACAGTTAAGTGCAAAGTAGGATCTGTGTTTTCCACTTGCTTTTTAGACCTTGGTCTTTTATGTATAGTGGATAACAAAAGTAATGAGTAGCTTTTACTCTGTAGTAATAAATTTTAATGCTATGTCATAAATTATGTGTTGGAGTTTTGAAATATCATACACATATTTGAAACATACCTACYGTGTGCGTGGGTATAGTAAGGTTTATAGAGTTGAGCTTTTCATGAATAATGATTCTATGAGTAGGAAACACTCTTGTTTTATGAAGATTAAAAACAAGTTGAGGCTCTTAATCATTTTTGAGATACTGAAATTGAATGTGTTTCTGAGCATCAATTCAGAAATGGTTCCAAACTATCCTCTCGGAATGCAGTAAATCATTTGTGCTSTTGGTCTAATTGAACAGCTTGGATCCTGGACCCTCATTAACTTGTCTGTAAGGAACAGAAAATTGAGGAGAGCGAGAAAGAGGCCGAGGAAAAGACCTTTAGCCAGTGTTGTCCTGGTGCTGTCCTGAGCTGCCATTGTTGAAGGACATCCTTTGAGCTAATTTCAGACCAATAAAAAAAAAATCTATTTATTGATTAGTAACCAGTGGATAAGAGGAGAAAGCCCAAGTGAATAAAGACCATAAATACTGAAGCCTGTGGGATAACAGCCTGTAAAACTGTCAAAAAGCATTGCTTAAGTGACAAAAGATAGCCCAAAGTAACAAGAAGTGTTAGCTCACAAGGCAGTCCTCCATATTCATGGAGAGAAGACATAATTTAGTTTTCTTCAAAAACAGAGATTCTTCTTGAATTCAGTACCTGCCCCACTTCATTTATTTATTTGTTTTACATGGTGTCTATTTGTTTAAAATTTGTGGTTGACTGCATTTGCTAGGAGGAATCATGATGCCTGTTTAAAGATAGCCTTGTTTCCAAAAGTAGAACCATGATTACTGAAACTTCTGTTTAGATCCATCAAGATCTACTTACTTGCTAAGAATTCGAAGCCTGACTGGAGTGAGTGGGTGAGGGTGTGTGTGTGTGCATGTGTGTGTATTTTTTAAAGGCAGATGGCTAGGAATCAGATGTTAACAAGTGTTTTTCTCTTGTTTTTAAATTAAAGTCTGAAGTTAGTAATTCTTAAATATTTYTCCCTAAAGGGAAAACACTGGGTAAATAAAAACATAAGAATGTAAGTCTATATCATCAACTGTTTTTGTTCTTCTTGCACAATATTGAGATTCAAATGATTACAGTCTTACCAGCCAGTATTTAAATTTGTTTTTTAGGGTTGAGGAAAATTCAAGATGATGAATCCCAAGTCTTTATTCTAAACTCCTATTGTTCTGACTGTGATGATGATTGTGTGGTATTTGAGTGACAGTGTTAGCGATTTTTGAATCTTGTGTTTTACTGTATAACCTTCAAATCCCACATATGTGTTTTAGTGATGTGATTTCACTGTATTTAAAGTATTGTSTTTCTTCAAGTTAGAGAATGTTATCAACTTGGGATATTTGCTTTTTATCGTCTGGGCTGTGAGAACTAGAGGTGTCATTCATTGGAAGGGAGCAGATGTTAAAGGTTCTTGCCCCTTCCTCCCTAATCCCAAACACCCTTGAAGAAGAGAAATGTTCTATTACCCAAATAGGCATCTTTCTGATGGTGAGAAAAGGCGGTAAAAGGCAGTAAATCTGCCTTCTCATTATGAAGTGCAACAATAGATTGATTTATGAAGAAAAGCAACTGTTGAGCTTATGTAAGATGTGTGCATGGAAATGCAGTTTCCTTCAGAGCCTGGTAAGCAGGAGCATTCTGCCTATTCTTGATAAGAATCTAATATTACTAACAGGGAATATGTGATTCTGAACACCACATTTTAAAAGACTACATTGAGAACAAAACAAAACATCCCACCTCCTAATGTTTTCACATGAGAAAAGTCTCTTAAATGTGCCATGTTTGTGCTATTTTAGTTCATTTTCATTGAGATAGAGTGGACTTCTTAAAAAGAGTCCCATCTTTATAAACGGTTTGTTAGGATATGCCATTTTAAACAGAAATGAATTTAAGTGTAGCATATTTAGATACTAGGGCATTTATAAAAAAATTTCACTAAAACTGCATAATTTCCAGTAAACACTACAAGAGTCTCAAATAAAGCCAACAATGAGCTTCTCAGGGGGATTTTATAAAATATTTGTGTTAAGTTTTTGTTTTAAGAAAATCTATATAATTTGATGTTACCTCTTAATAAGGAACTCTTGTTGCAGTATTTCTATTTAACTTAAAAAATTGGGATGTAATTCAGTGGTGGAGTGCTTACCATGCAGTATAGGGCCCCGGGGTTCAATCCCCAGCACCAAAAAAATAAATAAATAAACAAATAAAACAAAATCCCTAAATGTTTCATCTCTAAGTTGATTTTGAGCATTAAATATAATAGGATGCAAAAGTCTAGATGTCTCTTAGTAAATTGCAGTGGCACTGTCCTGTATATTTAGCACATATCACTCCAGAATTTGAAATTTATATGATACAATTGAGATTCAAACTGGTAAATTACACAATTATCACTAAGGATGGTATTAAAAACTCATTTCTCTCAGTAAATATGTATCTGTAATGTATGTATGTTTCCCAACCAAAGTAGTTTTCACTGTATTAATGTATAAGAAAGTACGTATAAAATATCGAACACTTAAAAGGGAAAGAAGAAAATATAAATGGAAGCTCAATTATTTGCTTTTACCCTGCCCTTATGGATTTTATACTTATCTACATGTGCACATGTGTTCATGCACACACCCTAGGAGCTTTGGAGTCTTCTGATCTAGCTAAAAGAAAGGGCTCTAGTGTATTACCTGGAATATGTGCTGTTATTCTAGTTAAGAAAATGCAAGGCTTACAAAGAAACAATGCTTGCAACTAGCCTTTGTTGTTTTACATTACAGTGAGAAGATGTTGCATTTTTGACATGTCAATGATAGAGTTTTAAAATAATTATTTCATTCCCAGCAGATTTTTATTATTTTGGAACTCAAAGCACTGTGGAAGTAAGATCTTAGCCAATAAAATGAACTTTTAATGCCACTGCCATGATAATAAATCCAAGCTTCACATTTAATAGGGGAAAATCTGTAAGATAGTTCAAAGATTAAAATTAATAGATCTTCTTGACATTTGTATAAGTGTAWAAAGAGTGCCAATCAAATGCTC